AAGGAATATTCTCTGAATACTGACTGAATTTTGTATTTTCTTTTATTATTATTTATAACAGGTTGGAAGCCAACAATGCCAATACAGAATTGGTTTATCCTGAAGTAACTTCGACTCCAAGGAAGTGTTCGCCGGAAAAACACATCCTTTTTCTTAAAACGCATAAAACTGGCTCGAGCACAATAACAAATATTTTCTTTCGCTACGGGGATTTGAGAAATCTTTCTTTTGTCCTCTCAGACGCTACACTGTTAGGATGGCCAAAAAGATTTCAGGTTAAGTTTCCGCGTCTTTTACAAAGCAAGGCACCAAATATTTTGTGCAGTCACGCACGATTTAATCAGAAACCAATGAATTGGCTCTTCCCTAAACAAACCAGCAAGTATCTAACGATTCTTCGAAACCCTGTGGACAATTTTGAGTCTGTGTTCAGGTACATGAAGGTAGGATATCGTCTTGGTGTGGGAAATGGTCCAGATTCTGTGCAAACATTCCTTAAGAATGGAGTTTCATTTAGCAAATTCAAGAGTGTAAAGGCGTCGCCTCTCGTCAGAAATCCTCTTCTGTATGATTTGGGTTTGAGCTTCAAGTATTATCAAAATCTCACTGCTGTTAACGAGTACATTCAGTTTCTGGACAAAGAGTTTGACTTGGTTATGATAATGGATTACTTTGATGAATCATTGGTGTTGATGAAGCGACTTCTTTGCTGGCAAATGGAGGACATTTTGTATTTAAAATTGAACGAGCGACAAGACAAAGAAAAGAACACAGTACTAACCGACGATGTTAGAGAAAACGTGAAAAGATGGAACAAAGCCGATGTTCTGTTGTTTGAGTATTTTAACAAATCATTTTGGAAAAAGATTGAAAACGAAGGTGAAAGCTTATACAAAGAGTTGACCATTTTTCGTGAGAGGAAAAGCGACATGAAACGAGCATGCGTAACAAATGAAACCCGCTTACAAAGAGTGTATGCGGGAAAACTTGTTAAAGGCTATTCCATTAGAACTGACTTGGCGAAAGGATTGCAGACTATTTGTGAAAAAATGACAATAAGTGAAAACTCGTATCTTGCATACTTGAGAAAGAAGCACGACCAGGGATTACAAATGGAAAAGGAGGAGGACAACAAAACCTGGGATCTAGAACAAGATCTTGTTTATGAACCCGTCCAACCGGTTTGAAAATCACACAGACTGTATACAGTTGACAAAGTGACGTCAGGTTTTCATGCGCCTGTCCTGTTATTGATCATGACATTGTTTAAGTAGCTGCGGATCAATAACAGGACAGACGCATGAAGAACTGACGTCAATTTGTTTTTTACGATAACAAATTTTCATATTGTCTGCTCTCGTTCGTTGACGCATCGCATAAATTATAAATTCATGTGTCTGTCCGCTTAATGACGATGAAAATTAGCCGAAGAGCGCGCGAGAATGTCTGCAGTTATTGTAAAAAACCAAAATATTGGAGACGCCATGAGCGGTCTAATTAGCCCAACGACTTATAACTTCTTCTTCAACACAACTATCTTGTAATGCAATAAGAGTTGATCCTCCACATAGGCATTATTCTTAATGTAATTAATCATTCCTTTGGAAGATATTTTTAGATAACTACCGGTATTGGAAATACAAAGGGTCTGTATAAATAAAAGGTATTGGACTTTATTGTAGAAATAGCCAATCTTCACGTGGAGAACCAAAGCGGCTTTACACGCGTTTTCATCTTCCACGAAAACATCCAAGCAACACGCACGCGGTAACATCCGCTCTTGGATTAAACATGTAGATGTATATGTTGCTTGCTACTCGGATTAGATTTTCAAGCTCTCCCAAGTTAGCCGTCAAGAAGAGCACGCGGTATTTTTTGTTGGTTATATTTAGCCATTAGCATTCTCTAAGTTTTGTTCAGAGCAGCAGATGCTGAGTACCATCACTGGTACAAGAAGTGCTCCTAGTACACCAAGAACAAGCAGTATTTTTTTTTTAGCGATTTTTACAAGATAGGACGACAGAAATTGTCAAGCGTTGCAATTGCAACTGTTTCAAATACTCTTTTTCGTTTGAATCGTCTGGCGAGTGGAACGACTGGTTTGCAAATTATGTTGCAGAGGCCGCAACCTGAAGCTGTTTAAGAAAGCTCTGAAATCATTCTTACGTACTTTATAATTTAAATATTAAATTTTTAGCACTTATTTGTATATGTAATGGCAACTTTAGCATCCGCTTATTAATGCATATTTTATTTTAGGGAGTTTGTTTTTTTTACACCTCTTTAAACTCCCATTCATGGTGGTCTTTTTGGTATTCTATTTTAGTTTTAACCCCCTACGGTATATGTATGTATGTAATGTCTGCCATGCTTGTTTAATTCAATAAATTTACTGACTTGTTGCTGTCCAAAATCGATATCATGGTTATGCCCACTACACAAGATTTCTCTCTCATTGCACACTCTAGGAAATGTTTGGGGGGGGGGGGNGGCTGAGGGCGGGGGTGTTCAAACCCCTCGGCGCGTACGTATAGGACGCATGTTGCGGGGACAGTACGCGAGCTGGTGGACACGAGGCAAACATTGGCTTTTTTTTCTATGTTGTAGCGAGGACATTTTGCAAGAGCAGTGCACACAATGCGGCATTGAAAAATAGAGGTCATTTTGTCCCTGCTTTATGACGCCCGAATTCAAATCAGCTGAATTTCATGCTTGTTGAGGGACAAAATTTTGCCCCCGCAGCAGAATTTTTCGCAAAAACGGGCATGCCACACGAAGAACACTGTGGCTGCAATATTTCCTCGCTATATGTTCCCGAAGCATACCCCTTCGTGTGCCAACCTTTACTCAATCTGGCCATAGTTAACAGTGGGAATGGTTATGAAACCTGGCAAAGTTCTTTGTTGAATGTTTTTGTTGGCTCTTTTGGGGGTTGACCCTGTACAAAACCTGTGTGCTCATACGACTAACCAATAGAAGCATTGCAACTATGTTTTTCATGCATAGTCCACGAACATAAAACAAAAGATGTGCAGGGTCAAAGACCTTCCAACATAAATCTTAGCCATCAACAGTCTTTTTCCTCGACCGAAACAGCAGGATGAAACTGACCGTCCATCATCTGGAGTAAAGTACAGAATTGTACGGGTCCGCAAATGATCCCAGGACCGCAAATGATCCCGGACCGCAAAT